ATCTATGTCTGTTTTTGTGCCAGTACCATACTGTCTTGATGATCACACTTTGTAACTGAGCCTGAAGTCCGGAATTGCGATGGCTTCAGGTTTGGTTTTCCTTTTCAACATTCCTTTGGCTATTTGGGGTCTTTTCTGATTCCATACTTCCTTGCGATTTTTTAAAAAGATTTTATTTATTTATTTGACACACAGAGAGAGAGAGATCACAAGTAGGTGGAGAGGCAGGCAGAGAGAGAGGGGGAAGCAGGCTCCCCGCTGAGTAGAGAGCCTGATACGGTGCTCCATCCCAGGACCCTGAGATCATGACCTGAGCCAAAGACAGAGGTTTAACCCACTGAGCCACCCAGGCACCCTACCTTGCGATTTTCTTAACAACATTTTCTTTTCTCTAGCTTACTTTTATGTAAGAATGTGGTCTATAGGGGCACCTGGGTGGCTCAGTTGGTTAAGCGAGACTGCCTTTGGGTCAGGTCATGATCCTGGAGTCCCTGGGTTGTGTCCCCCATTGGGCTTTCTGCTCGGCAGGGATTCTGCTTCTCCCTCTGACCTTCCCCCTCTTATGCTCTCTCTTTCTCTCATTCTCTTTCTCAAATAAATAAATAAAATCTTTTAAAAAAAAAAGAATGTGGTCTATAATACATACATAAAATTGACGTTAACCGACTACTTGTGTTCTCCATAAGGCTTCCGGTCAACAGTAGGCTGTTAGTAGTTAAGCTCTGTGGAAGTTAAAAGTTACACACGTGTGGGGGGTTACACACCCTAAGCCCTGTGTCGTTCAGAAGTCAAGTGTAAAAGTCTATGGTATTTTGTATGACAGCCCAAGCTAACCAAGACATGGTGGAATTGCCGTCAGCCCTTCTCCTGGCTGCAGTCTCTCTGCACACTCTGGGCTTCAGTTTAATTCTTCGGCCCAGCCCTGCCCTGCCCGTTTATCTGTATGGGCACTCCTTTTCCAGCCAGGGACCTTAGCCTGCTCCCTACACCCTGTCAATTAGCTTCAGAGTGATTATACGCCCACGTGCTTTTACTATTACCATGTCTGAGGACCTTCTGACAAAGTAAACACTGCAGATCATTAGCTGCCACCATCTAGCATTTAGACAGAGAAAGAAGTCCCAGAAAGTATGTGCGTGTGTCTCAGTGTGGGTGGAGATTTTTTGTGTGAGTATGCAAAATGTGGGTGTATGTTGAGAGACAATATATAAATGGACAAAGGCCAAACCATAAATGTAATAATAATACTGTAACCCACGGTCCACAGCAAACGACTCAGGAAGCCAGTCTGCTATAAAGCAAACATGTCCAGGTCGGACCCTATCTCTAGCAATGGGCCCCGGAAGTCAAACAGTAATCCCAAATCCCAAATCCCAAACGGGCCCCGGAAGTCAAACAGTAATCCCAAATCCCAAATCCCAAATCCAAGGTCACAATGGCCCTTATTTTTATTCCCTCTTCCAAGTTGGGAGAAGCCAAATATGCACCCCTAGCCAGTCACCAGAACCAAAAATTAGAACTTGCTTCTAGTTCCTCATGCCAACAGCCTCTGCTCTCGGGGCATACGTGAAATCGTCTCCTTTTCCCACTAACAAGTTTTCCCACTTCTGTGTCTGCCTTTGCATCTCGGCCACAGTGCAAGCCATGGTGGCTGACTCCATTGTTCGAGCAAGCTGGGAATCAAAGGTCTTTGCTTGTTCTTGTTTGGATGATCTTCATGTATTTCCACAGTGTGCAGGAGCATGTAGAAGCACGTGTGTATGAACATGTGAGTGTGAGAGGGAGCTGTGTGTGTGTGTGTGTGAGTCTGTGTGGGGGAGAATGGCAAGGGTGTGGGGTAAGGAGAATGGTGGAATGGGATGCCGCACTCACCATGAGATCTCCTTGCTTCTGGGTTTGTTCCCTTTGCCCCTCCTCTTGTAGGGCTGATGGGGAGGGAAGGTTGGGCGGGGAAGAAGCAGGAGGGAAGGGAGTTGGATTTGGATGAGAGTCACTTCCGTGATACAGACAGTTGATGATAAAAGACAGACTTTTGTGTGGAGTAATAGAGTCCCTAGAACATCAAACCAGTCCCCCTACCACTCCCCCCACCGCCCTCTAGAGCACTACACCTCAGAGCATTTCCCAGCCCACCATACTTCAGGACCTCCATTTCTCCTTTCATTGTTGAAAGCCAATGGTGGATTCCAGGACAAGGTTCCCACTCCCCTCCCCATCTCTGTGCCTGCCATTCCCACTGGAGCCTCCCTGGTGTCTTATGGTTGTGACTGAGTCCCTGACTTCAAGTTAGTTACCAGTGTATCCGGGTTTAATCCAAGGCCAGGCAGCCACTTGCCAAAATTAATGGTTAGTGACATTAGAACAAACAGAGGTAAATAGCCTTTACCTAGCACAGCATCTCCCTGTGATTTTAACAGCAGCAAAGAGATCACTGCGGTTTTACAATTTTCTGATCAATGATGGTAATTTTCCTCCCCTTAAGATGCGGTTAATCACACTAAGGGTCTTAGAGAACACAGGGGTCAAAAGAAAATTGCACGTTTGTGCAGGCTTTCTGCAGGACCTCCATATATTTTGCACATCACGCTAACTGCTGGGGGGTTGTGGCGCTCACGAGCTGCGCCCTGCTCACTCGGATAAATGGTGCAGAGCTTCCCGACTCTGCCATGGGAAAGAGTCTGGGGTCCTGCCACAGAAAACCTGATTCCACAAAGCCCCCTGCCGAGCTTCCCTTTTTAAAAATGGAAGAAACCAGGGCTGACACCCCACCCCGGCCAGTGAGCGCTTGGAGCCTGGCATCCCTAGTCCTAATAAGATGCAAGTGGCCTAATGGAGGGAACTCCCAATGCTGGGCATCCTCTCCCGCACGTGGGGGTCACAGCGGCGGGGGATGCCTATGCTAGGACGGGGGGTGGGGGACTGCTAGCCGGACTCAGAACCAGCTCCGGGCAAACCAGTGGTCTGCTCACTTGCTCGACAAGAGTTCTCTCCCTGCTGTTTTCCAGTCCATCCACCAGTGTTGGACTTGTCTATTTCCTCCAGTTGTGTGCTCTGCATTGTCGCCTAAGCTGCAAAGCAATTGTATCTGTTGACCTAAGCCACTTTAAAACGGTGAAATGCATACTGTAGGTCCAGGAACCAACTGGACATTTCATGGATCACCAACCCATTTCTTGTGAATACGAATGGAGATTAACAGCGACTACTGTCACTGAAAAGCAATAACGCACTAACGCCAAAACAGATAGCTGTGTCAGGGGCCGAGGAATTCTGGTTGCTTCCGGTGTTCACACCAAGCAGAGCACCAGGGATGAACTGACTACAAGGGGTTACTCATGGTACCTGCAGGCAGGGGCTTAGAGACCAGCGATGGTGCCTCTCTCCTCTGTCTTTCTTGGCACTACCACAAACATGACTATGAAGTTTCCTTCTGTCCTGCCTGGGCCCTAAACCTAAACCAAAGGAACGACTTCAGTTAGAACACAAACACGTAACACGCTCTAATCTCAGTTGCTTGCTGGTCTAAACATCGCATTGTTTCCCCTGGGCAGAACCGCTACCCCCATTCTAATCCAATTCAGTCCTATTTTGTTTGCTAACCACCTCTGAGAATGTTATTGTTATGTAAGAAGGAAGAAAAGCGAAATGCAGATTTTTTTATCCCCTGAGAACAGATTCTGTTTCAGAAATGGGCCCTTTAAAAGATCATTGCTCTTTATGATAGAGCCAGCAATCAAGCCCTGTGGCAGTTTCCCAAAGGATCTAAACACTTATGTCTGCACAAATGCATGCATCCAGATGTTTCTGGCAGCTTTATTTGTAAGTGCTGAAACCTGGAAGCAGCCAAGATGTCCTCCAGTAGGCAAAGGAATTGGTAAGTGTGGTACATTCAGACAATGGACTGTTACTCAGTGCCAAAAAGAAATGAGCTGTCATGTCACAAAAAGACATGGAGGAAACTTAAATGCACATTACTAAGTGAAGGAAACCAATCTGGAAAACTACATTACATGCCACGTAATTCCAACTGTACGCCGTTTGGGGAAAAGGCAAAACTCTGGAGGTAGTAAAAAGATCAGTGGGTGCCTGGAGTTAGGGTGGGAGGAAGGATGCATGGATGGAGCATGGATGATATTTAGGGCAGAGAAACCATCCCGGAGGATAATATCATGGTGGATTTATGTCATTTTGCATTTGCCAAACCTACAGAATGTGCTACACGTGAGAGAACCCTAATGTCAACTATGAATTTGGGGTGATTACAATGATCAGCGTGCATTTCTCCATGGTAACAATTTGTACCAGTTTGGGAGGATGTCCACAATGGGAGGCTGTGCGTGTGTGGGGGTAAGGAGTTTATGGGACATCTCTGTACCTTCCTCTGAATTATGCTAGGAACCTAAAACTGCTCTAAAAACACATGAGCTTTATAAAGAAAAAAAAATAATAGAAATCATTTCTCTCGGGGGATGCAGAGTACATTCGGGCACACGCATAGCGTTGTCCTTTATCTCGCTATGAGGGAGGTGGCATTCAGGGCCCGCGATGGTGATGCGTCTGGCTGGAGAGAAGTGTCCCAGCCATTTTCTGCTGGTACAGGTACCCCTGCCCGCTAAGCCTGAGCTGTCCAACACAGCAGCTGCTAGCCGCATGGAGTTCTTTTAATTTAAATTAATAAAAATGAAAGTACAAATTCATTGTGCACTGGTCTCATCTGAAGGGCTCTATAGCCTATGTGGCTAATGGCTACTGTATTGGGCAGATTTGGGACCTTTCCATCATCTCAGAAAGTTCTACTGGATGGCGCTGCTCTAGACTCTGGGCCGCCCCAGAGGCTCACCTGGGGTGCAGCAAAATCACCAGTGGAGAATGCTTGAGGTCCAGGATCCTCAGGCCGAGATCCCAAAGGACAGCTGAGCTCTAGACCCCTTTTCTAAGAGCCAGTTTCAAAAGATGGGGGCCCGCGGCAGGGCCGGGACTGAAAAGGGTTCGTGAGACCTTGCAGGGCAACTTCTCTTTTGCAATCCTTGCTGGTCTGACAGGCTCCTACAGAATTACATCACTTCCTAAAAAACAGGCAAACACCTCTCCTTCAAGTTAGCACCGACCCAAACAAGCAGGAAACAGGAAATGTTCAGGTTTCAGGGAGGCTGAAGCGCAGCGCAGCATCATGACGGGGCGGCGGCGAGCGGACAGGAAGGTTCCCGGGGCTGCCCTCGCCTTTGCCCTGGCGATCACGCTCCTTCCCACCGGCCAGGCTCAGGGTAAGCTACGTCCCGCTTTCCAACCCCCGGGAAGGAGGAAAGCCAGGCTGGGTCAGTGCCCGAGGCTACAGAACTCTGCCGAGGAGGGGAACACCCAGAAAACCAAGTCCTTTCTATAAAAGAAGGAGATGAAATTAGAATTGTAGTTTGGGGGGCGGGGGTGTGGAGTTTGGCGGGGGGAGGGCTTGGCTGGCTTCCCCCGCAGCCGGCCAATCCTCCTTCCGCTCCCTCACTCCATCTAACTTTCCTGCAATTTTTGTCCTCTACCAAGTGCGGGGTCCCTGTAATTTCCCGGCTTGGACGGGCATCTTAAAGAAACCATAAACTTTTTTGTCAGTTGGTGTAAAAGAATGTTTCAATCAGAAGTCGTGAATTTCCTTTTAATAATGTGGGCTGGGAAATCTGCTAGTAGCCAAATCTCCCGGAAAAACTGAGGTATGGAAATGTACTACTGGAATGTATACTAAAGAAAACCAGTCAGTTAAAAAAAAAAAAAAAAAAAAAAAAAGTAAACAGGAAATTATCGGAGGAGTTACCAGGCATCCATTCTAACTTTTCAAGAGAAGCCTTTCATCTGTTTTTCTTTGAGCTTGTTACTTTGGGGGATATTTTCTTGGCATGCGTTTTTACTAATGAACCTTTATTTTAGAAAGTAATGTGATTGTAGCAAAGCAAATGTATTGGAAAAACAAAATATTCAATCTCATTATTTTGAGCTAAGAGCGGGCAATTGATTCATACCCTTGACAGTTGCTACAACGAGCACAATCTCCCTCGATTGCCTCATACAGTTTTGTTGACTTGCCCTTGGGTAAATAAACTCATTGCCCATGATTTCTGTCAACAGATACTACCCGTTTCTAGTAGTGCAGGTCAGTATTTCAAGTAAAAGGAAAGTTCTCACGCTAGGGTTCTTCCAATAGGGTGGGGGTTGGGGGGCGGGCACCAGGCACTGACCTAGCCTGTGGCAATTTCCTGGAGATTCACAGTCAGCAGCCAAACACACCGCCCGCCCCACCAATTTCTCCTGCCTTGGGTGCTCTCCTTGTGGTCTTGCCAGGCATCTGGGGTGGAAAATGAAAAGTGAAAGGCAAACCATTCCCACTGGAAAGATGTCCGGTTGAAATGCCAGGTGTGTTTCAGATGAGACCCCGGGGGGAGGGGGACAGTGTGTTGTCTTAGGCACAGTTTGGGGGCTGGGAGCGAACATGAAGATGACGAAGCTCCAGCTGAGCAGCACGGGTGACACAGGTTAAGTCGCTGAAGCAGGGGATGGTCAGATGTCCAAGTGCCGCGGCTGCTCAGCTCTTCTGACTGGGACCCCGGGTCACCCCTGTGCCCCAGTGGAGATTCCTCCGCGCCAGACTCCTTTCCCTGTGTGGTGTCGCTCAGCAGCCCAGGGGGCAGAGCTTGGCTTTCCCACTTCTAAGTCTTGTGAGTCTCAACGCTACCGCAGGTGCCTCAAACATGCCCTGAGAGTAATACTTAAGGCTGCCTAAGTATTTTCTGGAGCTTCTGAGCATCTTCTTGACATATCTGAGTTGAAGCGTAAGGCATCCAGGAGATGCAAAAGGGTCACATGAAGACCCAGTACAAGTTTTCTTTCTAATGCTGGGCTCTGATCAGTGGCTCTTCCACAATAAAGACCTTTGGTTGCTCCTCATTTATGCCTTGGACCCTTGTTTCAACCTTCTTCTCAGGTGTCTCCTCCCATGTGCCCTCCCATGGCCCAGTCATACTGAACAGAGGGTGTGCTACAGGTCTCTGCAGCTCTTGTCAAGAATGAATGACAAGTTCCCTTTTTTCTACTTAGTGTATTCCTATATAACCCTAAAGACCCAGACTGGAAGTTGCCTCCTCCTTGATGTCTCTTTTGACTGCGCCTTGCCTGGTGGCTTTATCTGTGTCATGCCCACATAAAACTCAAGTTCAGTACACATAGCTGATTGCATAGAATCCTAAGCGTGTGTGTGTCTGTATCTCCCATAACCGCTGTGAGAGCCACCAGAGAAAATGCTCGGTAGCTTATCTTTGACTTCCCAAATCCTTGTTGGGATCCACATAAATAAAGAACTCCATAATTGTTGACAAATGCTACAATCATTCTAGAATGGATTTGAGGTTGAGCACTAAAAGCTGATGAGCTCCTGAAAACAGGTGGTATGAGAATGTCAGGGAAGTCAAAGGGGAAAACCTGCATTTCAGCTGAGCGCAGGGTTTACCTAGATAATCCAACACGCTTATTGGGCCCTGTCTGGATTTCCAATGTCAGAAAATGCAAAAATGTCCACTCACAAAAATCTATATAATCAAAGCCAAGGAGAAGTCTTTTATAAATTAAGGACTGATTATCTATTTTTTAATTAATCGATGTATATCCTTTTGAGCCAATGGTGCCTAAGATGTGAGGATGTGAGTTAGTAAATGGGTGTCACACTTGTATTTCCTTGAATTCTTCAGGAAGTATTTTGGAAATGTTTGGCAGTAGAATCCAGTCTACTGAGCAGCCTGACACCCCCTCCTTGCAAGCATATTCCAGGATACGGCTCAAGTCAAGCCAACCACAAACAGGCAACATAATCTATTATCAGCAGTCCCAGGCTCTGCCGCAGTACCTCGGAGTCAGTGTCCTTTCTCTATACGGAGAGCCTGCTGCAGTCTTGATTACTATCCCAAGTGAAATAATCTACTTGGAAGTCACTGGGAGAGAAATGAGAAAACAGCTTTTCTGGGATTTTGACCAAACAGATGAGCATAGTTATAGAAAAGCTGCGGGTTTAGGTACCTTGGCCAGCGTGGACGCTAAGAAAATTCAGACTCTATGTCAAGGAGACATTCTGTCCAGGGGGTGAGGGAGTCATTTTCACCTGGCTTCTTGCCCTGTGTCCTGTCAATATCAGCTTAACACTATCAGAGAGCTAAAAGCAACCTCCCAAGACACGGAAAGCATGGGATTTATTAGCTGCAATGGGCAGGATGGTCTGTAAAAGGAGAGCTGAGGGCACCGGGCAGAAACAAGGAGGCTGTGTTTTGCTGGGCCGGGGTTAAACAGCGGGTTTGACGGGAAAGACTCGGAGATTTTCTGCACCATTCCAGAAGAGTAAGAACCATGTAATTAGTAGATAAACTTTGAGAAGAAAAGAAGGAATTAAAGAAAATACTATTTATGTAAATGGAACTGCGATTTCTGGCACTGATCTCGTTTCAATGAATGTGACTGGCATCTGCTATTGCCTGGGACAGTTCCAATTTCAAGTAGCAATAATGATGAGAGCAAACGCATATAGTCCTCATTGCATGTCAGGTGCCCTTCTAAATAATTTACATACACTCACTCATTTAATTCTCCTAATGACCTTATATAGTGAGTACTAGTATCCCTGCTTTACATATGAGAAAATGGAAGCACAGAGAGGTTAAGTGACTTGACTCGGGTCACTCAGCTAAATAGTGGATCTAAGTAAGATTCAGTCTCAGGAATCCATGCTCTAATGTATACTATAATACCTCTGGGTTTTTAGGCTCTGCTAGTATATGTGTCTAGTTCTAAGTTTAGAAAAATATGTCTCTGGTACCCTTCCAACTGTAAATGTATCACATACATCTTAGACCCCCTCAATTGGGGTCTAAGGTTATTGCATATTAATAAAGGAGCTGTATTTGTTTGGTTGGGTCAGAGACCGGCCTACAGCAAAAGGGATGGAGCAACTTGGTTTAACTTTGGCCTGTAGAGGAGGAAGGGAAGGGCTGCAAGTTGCAGCAGGAGGAACAGAGCATCTGGGGATTAGCAAAGTTAAGACCAGAAACAGGAAAAGTGGAATGACAAAGTCACCAGTAAGAGGCTTTAGGGTGTGGGAACCAGGGAGAGACAGCACAGCCTTGTGTTAGCTGCCCTGGGAGAGCCCTGCTGAGGTCTGACCTGGTGGACCAAATAGCCTTGAGGCACCAAAGAAAAGAGGCAGAAAGGGATTTCCTGGGGTTTAAAGCCCCTCTGTGTCTTTAAAAGCCTGATCTAAGGATCCAGAAGACTTCTGGATCCTGGCTGGGTTGGGCCCGATTCTGCAAAGAAACAGTATGACCTACAGTCTGCCTACCTGTGTCAAGTTTGCACCACCCTCAAATTTTGGCAAAGATGTGGAGAAAAAGGAACTTTGCAGCGCGGGTGGGAGGGTTCCCGCAATCCCCTAGCCTATCCTGCTGCTTAGCCTGTGCATTGGGCTTTTCATTTCAGTTCTATTTTTCACTCTAGACAAATTTTTTCATTTCCAGAAAAAAAAGTATGCTGTGTCTTGCTTTTATTTTTTTCTTGTTAATTATTCCTTCTCTCAGGTCTTTTTTTTTTTTTTTAACATAGTCTTTTGTGCTCACTTTTATCTGCAATTTATGTAGATCTAATCTCGTCGCTCATTGCATCTGTTGATTCCCATTCATGATAGGTATCTTGCGGAGGAAGTGCGCCTGGGTGGCTCAGTCAGTTAAGCGTCTGCCTTCTGCTCAGGTCATGATCCCAGGGTCCCGGGATTGAGCTCTGCATCAGGCTCCCTGCTCAGAGGAGAGTCTGTTTCTCCCTCTCCCTCTGACTGCGGTTCTGCCTACTTGTGCTCTCTATCTCTCTGTCAAATAAATAAAATCTTAAAAAGAAATAAAAAGGAAAGAAAAGAAATCGTGGGGGCACTGAGGGCTTGCTGTGGCACACAGAGGATGACTTCACCTCATTTGACAGAAACCCAGATTTCTGATTCCAGCACCAAGTTACTGTAAATACTTTCCCAATACAACCTAGTCCTGTCGCCACGGAACTCTTTGGAAGATACGGAGGCAGGGATGTGCTGGGCTGAAGCTTGGACCTCAGGCTTCAAGCCTGGCTTTGGGTTGGAGAGGGGACAAGCTGAGCAGTCTTCAGGGGCCAGACTCCAAGAGCTGTATGAGGGGGTGCCAAAACCTCACGAAATGTACGAGCCAACAAAGCAGTGTCTTCTGTGGGAGCAGGTCAATCCCAGAAATGGGCAGACAAGGATGCCAAAGTCATTGCCAAAGAGAAAGAAGTAGACAGAATCAAACTGAACATCAGAAGAGGGGCCAGGGTCCACAGTGTCAGGATGATGGTGAGATCAGCCTTGGGGTGGCACACCTGACTCTGACTCTGAACTTTGCCAAAATCATTGCTCCTTCCTGTCCTTCTTCCCTCCCTCTTTCCATCCTTTCCTCCCTCCCTCTCTCCTTTCCTTCCTTCTTTCCTCTCTTTCTTTCTTTCTCTCTCTCTCTCTTTCTTTCCTCCTTCCCTCCCTCCCTCCCTCTCTTCCTTCCTTCCCACAGCCTAGTATTTTAGCTTTAACTTCTTTTTTAAAAAAATATTTTGTTTATTTATTTGACAGAGAGAGAGAGAGAGAGAGAGAGAGAGAGAGATCACAAGTAGGCAGGCAGAGGGAGAGAGAGAAGCAGGCTCCCTGCTGAGCAGAGAGCCCGACTCGGGGCTTGATCCCAGGACCCTTGATCCCAGGACCCTGAGATCATGACCCAAGCTGAAGGCAGAGGCTTAACCCTCTGAGCCACCCAGGCGCCCCTAGCTTTAACTTTTAACCCAAAAGATGGACCGAAGTCCCCTGAAAGCATGATATAGCCTCTTATGTCCCAATGGGCCCAACCTTTGTTCTAGGAAATCCCCATAGGTAAATTTGTCTCTAAATTTAAATTTCCTGTATCATTTTTTCTTTCTTCTTAAAAAAAAAAAAAAATTCTGGGGTCTGGGGATTTCCTTGTTTTTTGACATTTTGTTATACTGTAAAAAGTTGTCTCATATTTCATTCAGTATCTCTGGGTGCTGCATATTGGGAGAATTTTTCAGGTTACCAACTGTATCGGATTACTGGAAAAGGAAATTTTTCTATATAATCAGCTTGGAGAACAATTTGGAAATATTTAGTCAGCTGAATATGTTCATACTTGACAACCCCAACAATCCAATCCTAGCTATATACGCCAGATGAAGAACAAATGCACAGCAAAGAGGCATGGCCAAGGATGTTGATTGTAGCATTGTTTGTGAAGATGGAAAAAATAGAAACAACTTAAATGTGCATGCACAGAAGAATACATGAAATTTAATACAGTCACAACATGAGATATCATGAGATATCATACAACCGGTAAAATTAAGTAGTCCAAATGTATGAAGATGACTCAATCCTAAATGCAGTGTTGGCCAAAAGAGCCAATTGAAGATTATTATGCACAGAATGATTACATTTATTTAAAATTTTTAAAAACACTCCAAATTATGCTTTTACTGCTTAGGGATATAGGCATATTTGAAAAGTTGCGACTGATACCATTAACTTTAGGAGAGCGGTTACCTTTGGAGAGGGTGGGAGGGGAATGAGATCGGGGCAGAGTACAAGAGGGTCTTCAACTGCATCTCTGATGTGATTCTTTTCAGAAAACATCACAAGAGGCCTGGAGACAGCAGATGAAAAACCAGGGGTCAATTCCAGTGAGTGTCCTGTTTTTTTCTGACCTGGAAGCTAGGAATGGTTTTTGTGTATTTGAATGCTTAAATGAAAACTTATTTAAGTGGTTAAATGAAACCTGCCTTTTGCTTTCTGGACCACAAGATCTAAAATATTTATTCTCTGTTCTTTAAGAAAAAGTTTGCCAACCCATCCTCTGGTCAATATGGAAAGGTATAAGAAAATCAGTGGTGGGTACTCAGTTATCTATTACATTGTTCTCTCAAAAAAAGGTAAAAATAAAAAAGTATAACCTCAATACAGTTATTACCTTAAAAAATTGATATCATCATATATCCAATCAATGTCTAATTAGCTCTGATAATTATCTTATAAATGTTTTTTAATAGTTGTTCTGTTCAAATTCGGATCTAAACAATATCAACACCTTTAAAAAAAAAAGGTAGGTATACATTCATAATGAAAAATAACTAGAGTACCTTTGAATACTTCTCGAGCTTTCCTCTATCTTTCCTTTCCATTGTTCCCAATCTCTTTGAAAGACAGTCAACATGCCTTCATCTCAGCCCATTGACATCTGGCTGCTGTGTTAAGAACAGCCACTCAAATTCCTCTCTCTGGATTCCCAGTGCCTTCTAATAGCTAAACCCAAAGGATCCATTTCTGTCCATATTACATGTTCTCCTCTGTATCACTCAACGTAATCAACAATGATGAAAATGCTCCTGTTCCTTGGGTCTTATAATGCCATTTTCTCCTTGATTTCCTAGGACATTGATTGCCCCCTTCCATTTTGGGATTAGTAATCTTTTTCTTCCATCTGCTCATTTCATAGTAATGTCTATCTTTTATTTCTTATTCCTTACATCCTTCCTGGGCCATGGCCTCCATGTTCATGGCTTTCATCTCGCTCTGCGGTTGATGATTCCCAAAAAACCATCCCCCACCATGCCTAGCTGCCTGGCTCTAGATTTGTATTCTTGCCCTCGTTCTCCTTGGGTATGCCACAGGGACCCTAGGCTCAGCATGTCCAGAGAGGAACTCCTCAGCTCCCTGTAGTCTAAGCTCCTGTTAGCTCTCACCTAGTCTCCTTCATTAACTTCTTATCTTCTAGCCTTTAGTTACATTTCATGTAACACCCAAAGCAATAGCTCGATAACAAAAAGTTATCATTTCCTCCTGCACTTACCCCTTCAGTGGGATTTCATTTCCTTGGGGTAGCTTCCAAACCCCTCGACATCATTTCAAGGCCCCTTATGAGTTATCCGGGGTTCCTTTCCTGCTTATTCCCTGACACTCCCCGCCACATGCCCTAGGTACAACTACTTGAATGTGTGTCAAACTCTGAGCCTTTCTGTGTGCTTCAACTGTAATGCCTTTCCCTGACATCTTTGCTGGATGAACTTCTGAGATTCATTTTAAGGATCTCCTCCTCTGTGAAGATTTCCTGAATCTTTCATTCCCAGATGAATCAAGGCCTTTCTCTCCCATGTCCTCATGGGACTCCATACACAAACAATCATACACAATGGCTTTTATTAAACCACATTATAGCTATTGATGTATGTGCCATTGTCCCTACTTACCCGTGTTTTCCCTGGAGGCATAGACCTGGTTTCATTTGCCTTTATATCCCAGGACCTACAACAGTGTCTGGTACATTATAGGCACATGACTGACTGAGGAATGACATGAAATTTATCCAAGATTTACATATATTCATGACAAAATCATAACCATTTAAATAATGAAATGAAATTGTGGTAATACCTGGATAAATATGATTTTTTAGTTAACCATATTTTATTTTATTCCAAAATGTTAACTATTCCAAATCTTTTTATATATAGTTTACTTCTGTCTTCTCACACCAAAACAGGCAACAGTTACTACTTCCCTTCCTGTAGAGAATATTATGTAGCTGCATCTATGAGTAGTACTGAGAAAGTACTTTTTCTTAAAAAAGATTTTATTTATCCATTTGGCAGACAGAGAGGGATCACAAATAGGCAGAGAGGCAGGCAGAGAAAGAGAGGGGGAAACAGGCTCCCCACTGAGCAGAGACCCTGATTCGGGGATCCCAGGACCCTGAGATCATGACCTGAGCCGAAGGCAGAGGCTTAACCCACTGAGCCACCCAGGCGCCCCGAGAAAGTACTTTTTAAAAAAGATTTTTATTTGTCAGAGAGAGAGCACAATCAGCAGGGAGAGGGAGAAACAGGCTCCCAACTGAGCAGGGAATCCAATGCTGGGCTCAATCCCAAGGCCCCAGGATCATGACCTGAGCCAAAGGCAGGCACTCAACTGACTGAGCCACCCAGGTGCCCCCTGAGAATGTATACTTATCCATCTTCCTCTCAAACTAGGGATGAAGTTCAGACCCAGGAAATATGCATTGAGCAGCGTGACAAATTGCAGAAATGTCTGGTAGTCACAAATATTTTGGGGAGACTTTTGAAAAGAATACAAAAGGAAAACAAATTCCGTAGATGATAAATTTCAAGCCAGTAAGAGCTGATTTAAAAACTTGAAAAAGAAATAAAATTTCTGTAACATAAAATAAATAGAAAAATCTGCCAGGGCTGTGGGGGGAGGGGAATGACAGCACAGAAACATTTCCTGATTAATTAAAGAAGGTAGTTTGAAAGAAGAGTTATTTACTGGAGAAGGGTCCATTTGGTGGTGGCATTTTGATTTCTTTTCCTTGAAACAAAACCACCAAATCTAGTTTGTTTTTGAAATTTCCATTTTCCTTCTGTGTCTTTGCTATATAGGAATTAAAATGTCTATTATTTCCTGCTTCCCCACCCCATTGTAGTTTTCAGAAACAGGAGACCAGTGGTTCCTAGGGCTTGCGGACATGTGCTTTCTTTCTTCCATTGACAATATTATTTTAAAAATTCATGTATTCTTTTTTAAACATATTGCTTCCTTTTTATGTTTAAGATTACTAGATTTAGCAAATAAAAATAAGGACACCCAGTTAAAGGTAAATTTCAAATACACACATTTTCGTGTGTGTTTAAGAACATCTTGTGCAATTCAGTATAAGTAGAGGCCACACAAATATTGCATGCGACACATTTATGCTAAAAAATTATTTGTTGATCTGATATTCAAATTAAACTGGCCATCCTGTACCTTAGTAACTCTATGACTTGGATTATTTTTTCTCAAGCAAAGACCATCCTTATGTTGGTATATCACTAAAAGCACAGGCATATTGGCCATGTACCCAATTAACAAATATTAGAAGAAAATTTAGGCTGAGTCCTACATCAATCATGGAAAAAAAGCAAAACAACAAAAAACATCCCAGTAATTGCATAGACTAAAACCGGGAATCCAAGAGTGGATCAGCCTTAGAGAAATTTCTAATGTAATTCATCCCATTAAACAGCAGAAGAGAAAAAAAATTGTAGGATCATAATGATAAATGCAGAAAAGAGGCTGGCAAGAGAGTGGGACCACCCAGCATCAGTAGTTCAAGCAGCAACACTCAGTTCTCAGCGCTGGAGCCCTGTTAGATTGGCCGGGATGGAGGGACAGGATTGAGTCTTTCTCAAGGTAAAGTAGGACCAGAAACAAGCAGAGCTTAGACACCTGGTACGGGACTTTGCCGACCCCAGAATATCCAACCCCCAATCTGCTCTCCTCAGACACTACTCTAGGGACCTCGGGAGATTGTCTCCTTCCTCAGCCTCCCAAACTCTAGCTCTGTGCTCCCCAGTAGGCTGGTGATGGGAACTTCTGATTACACCTTGTCCCCCTTTCTCCTGCAGCTGGTGATGAGGGTACTGTAGTCCCTGAGATACTAGCCCACATCTCGTTTCCCTGCTCTCCTGTCTTCTGATTTGTCACAAATATCCATCTACCACTTCGTTTTTTGGCTTGTCCCTGTCTTTCGGTTGCTTTCTCTGACAACTCTGAGTTGTCACGCCTAGACGGAGGGCCTCTGTGCCCCGAGGAGGAGCCCACCTGTCTCCCTCCCCTACTCAGAGCGGGGCTGGTAGCAGGCCAGGGAGAGGACAAGGGCATGGCCGAGAACATTTGTTTCCAACTTACCTCTAGAATTGTATTCTTGAAACTGGCTATTCAAAAGAGAGCTAGAAATATAATAAAAATAGAAAAGTATTCAGATTACTAACGACAATAAATATTATTTTAATAAAATCTTTTTTTCCATTTCAAAGTACTTGTGCATCTATTATCCCACTGATGGTAGAAAGAGTATTAAATATGAAAAATGTATGTGTATTCTGTCCCATAAAAATACTTAAATTCCTTCAAACTGCCAGGTACCACAGGCTAGAATAGGTCTCCAGTGTGCAAAAAGGTAGTCAGATGGTCAAAAATGCAGCTTCCGCAGGTGAGTAACTTCAGACCGGGACAGCCTGAGGGTCTGGGCAAGTCTGATTAAATATGAGTAAGCTTTCTCTTAAAAAGACATCAAAATAAACAGTTTGAAACAGAAAAGACATCAGAGCACTGTGGGCCCCCTTTGTGGGGCATGTTTTCATCTGATAGTAAATTGTAATTGCAGGTGTTTCTCAAGCCAATGCGGTGAAAATAGAACCAAGCTTCACAAGTAAATTCCCAGAGCAGACTACTGCAGGGAAGCATTTTACCAGAAGACCCTACTCAAAATAAGCAAAAGGAACATTTGTCAACCTTCTTTCAACATGAGACATCATCCCCTTTAGTCAGTTGATGGCTGGAGAGAAAGGGTGTGCAAAACACAGGCACCGCTTTCCCCTGAACCTCCCTGTGATAGAACCTGCCCTTATCCTTCAGTGCTTTGTCTCCCATCCGTTCAGCCACACTTATGCTGACCATATCTTCTTCAGATAAATATGTCAGGAAAAATATTTTCAGGAATATTTTCAATTAACCAAAATTGTTAAATACATCATACAACAGAGCATATAATGAAAACAACAATCCTTCTGAATCCCTAGTCCTGTCCCCAGAGAATTAGGTCACCTATGGAAAACCATGTGGAACACTAGATTCCCTCCACCCC